ATTATCTTAAAAAGAGAAATCACGTCTGTAAAATGTTTTCTATTTATTTGACACTCAATAATTAGTAGACCCAAATTTCAATTCGGAGTGAATATCGAAGTTCTTTTAAAATAAGTAGAGCTTTTGTTTCGGTTATATGGCCACCAAAGATTCGAGCTAAAATGGATCTTTACATAAAAATATTGTCTGTGGAACAATGTTTTATGGACGGGTTCTTGTATAACGAACATGTTGACTGCAGTAGGCAGATGGACAACCAACATTGATCGTAAGGGGGAAGTTGACCTCATTCACCTTGACTTCTCAAATGCTTTTGATAGGGTCAACTATACATGTCTTATCAATAATCTCGAACGATTAGGCATCAAATCACCTCTAATTGACTGGCTCACTTCATATCTAAAAAATATACATTTTTATGTCGAGGTTAACTTCACTTTCTCTCACTCTATGGAATGTCCTAGTGCGGTTCCCTAGGGTTCAGTACTAGTGTAGTGAACAAGAACACCAGTGGGGACAATCGAATGTATTGAACAACAAATTACAGAGCACCTCAATAAAATCTGAGAACCATATAGTGAATCGTTAATTTGCAAAATAACAATCCATCATATCAACCTGGACTGCTCCTGTTGTAAACATCAATCGATTGTCTGACATTTCATTGTTCATGAGTTTCCATCCATTGTGTTCCCGCTCTTCTTTTCTTGATCTTCCCTCATATTCTGCTGCCAGACATTACGTCTAAAACTCGCGTCATATACTACTTATGTCTACATAAGTAGAACACACCACACTAGTACCTCTTCTTTTCGTAATTTATATAAACGATCTTCCACAGCAGGTGTCGTCAGATTTATCACTTTTCGCTGATGATGTGAAACTAGAAATTGATTCAAATGTTTTGAATAGATGTGGACGGAATAAAAGAAGCTTTTTTTAAACATCTTCCTGTGTCTATTAACTGATCATCTCCAATACCTGTAGGCAGGAAGAATCAGCCGACAGCAAAACCAAACGTGATAACCGCAGCGCATTATTCATTTTGGCGTACTAATGGTACAAACGGTTCAAAGTGGTTTGAATGCTTCAGAATGGAAAATAAGTAGCTTCGCTTAACAGATTCCCGTGTCATGTAACTGAGCATCTCCAATACCTGCAGGCAGGAACATAGGTATATTAATTATAATATATTTTGTAAAAAAGAAATTAGTAAATCATAGTAAGATATTATCCTTAGTCCTCAAGAATAGATCAAGTTTCCTCTTAAAGGACTCCTGAGAAGTCTCTTGGACTAGCTCGACCGGCAGAAAATTCCAGCATTTGACAACTCTTAAGGAGTAGAAGTTGTGTATACAGTCCGTTCTGCTATGTTATATCTCCAATTTCTGGGTGTTACCACTTAGAGCTGTGTTGGAGTTAAACTTATGTAGGTGTTTAAGAGGATGTCCAGAAGTGTTTAGTATACTGTAAGCCATCAGAATGTCACCTCTAAGACGCCTATACTCTAATGGGTAAAGGTTAAGTGATTGGAGGCGCTCTTCATAAGGTTCGAATTTGAGTCCCCGAACTGATTTCGTGGCTCGCCGTCGGATACGCTCCAGAGTGTCCTTATCCTTTTGGAGTGTAAGAGGGAATACTATGTTTCCGTATTCTAAATGGAGACGAATAATACTGTTGAAGATTATGTGGAAAGTTGTTCCGTCAAACTGGCCAAAATTGCGCTTCAGTGTTACCAGTGGAAGGTTTGTTCTAAAGGCATTTCTGTCACAATTAGTGTAAGATTTTAAGTCGTAGGGCACCAGGACTCCTAAATCTTTTTCGACCACGGATACTACTAGAGGGAAATTGCCCAAGTTGTAACTGTAACGGTAACTCAGTTGAATGAACAGATAATGATGACCAACTGGTGCAATTATGCATATACAACCGTTTATTTTTAACAAGCACCAAATGTAAGCATAAAGAGAGACGTCGTTTGATGTGGTGACCTCCATATTTACCTCAACGATATACGCAAACAGACCAAATCAACATCAGCCTTCGATGGAGAGATTTCCTAAATGATTTTTCCTCATCCTGGGGCACATGTTTAGACGTATTCGTCTGTGTCGTACTAGACATAGAAAAGCCACAGCAAGTTAATCCTTTAAGTTCACCTAAACTACAAAAAAGTCAAAAGCATTTTATTAACAACTAGAAAAGTCGTCAGTCAATCGTCAAATTGATGCTCACTTCGATCTAAGTTGGCATGATATCAGAACAGCGGTGAGAATAGCAGTGATATATATCAGCATTAACAAATGAAAGGTTAAGAAGTCAATCGATCTCAACAGCGTTTACTGGAGTGATAGGTGCTCGGAAACTCCTTTCATGTTCCGAACACGATAGGGAGTAAAGGCAATTTAAACTTGGACTGATAAAGGGTTTACGCAATGATCATGAGTAGTGATAGATAACTAAGTCGAAGGCGGTGAAAAAAATTAGCTGTGATTGATAACACTGGATGGCGTTTCAGAATTATCAAATAAAGGGGTACTGGAAATTCGGGAGTTGTCAAGATTATTTTTGGAAAAGATGATACTATGATTCGTTCTCAGTTCAGGATACTGAAACCATACGAAATACAGTTTGGAGAATAATTTAACTGCTCACCAGCTACTCTACAGTTGCCTTATTTATTTATTGATTTTAACACATAAGTATAGGTACAGGGAGGCACCAAATACATATGCGCCACACAAATCTCAATTGATTTGTGTGAGGGCTGTGATACTGCCCGGGTGCCCAAACCGAAGCAGGTGGTTTTCTTAGGGGGCCACACCCCGAGCCTTTGACCTGAACGTCTGACCCACAAGGCAGTGGAGCATCGTAAGGAGATGCAGTCCCATGGTAGCCGGTGACCAACGATTGGTTCATACGCCATTTGTTCCCGCAGGATACTGGAGCCCATGTGCACCATTGATTTGGGATCCGGTTAAAGCGCCAGACATTCGCTTTTCGTCCTCTCATTTTTGTAAACAACACCCCCGCCACGAGAAAGCAGTGAGTAAGACTTCCCTGGCAGAGGCTATATACGCATGGCCATGTAAGAGCATTTCGAGAGGGAGAGCGGACTCTTCCCACTCTCGGCCGTACCAGGGCATTTGGGGGCCTTTTTTTAAGGATAAAAAAAATCATCCAAAACAGTTGCCTATCTTTACTAAACAACCTGAATGAAAATTTTACATAAGCTCTTTAGATCTTTATGAAGTAGAAAAACCCATGACAAAATGTAAAGCCAGGAGGAGCAGAAAGCTCTTGTAGATTAACCCCTGAGATTTTTTAAAACTGGGGTTTAGTTTTAGCTGTTAGATTGAGATATTAGCTAGAGTCTGAGAACTAGACCAATTCTTATCTGACTGTTCTACACAGCTAATCATTTCAGTCTGCAACGAAAGACAAAAATCCTCTTGTGAGACCACTGAGGAATCAGTTTAATTAGTAGCTTCCACAATTGCCCTATGGTTAACTAGAGCTTCGGAAAAGCAGTCTGGTTTCAAAGTTAGACGTAGATCTGTAGATCAAGCCCTGGTTGGTTGGTGTCCGTCGAAATCTCTTAAAGAATGCAGAAATTTCGGTTGGCTTTTTTCAACTTGGATCACTTGTGCCTTAGGCAAAGTATCTACCTCTCAATCAAAGCATGAGTTAACTGTTCGACAGTTCACTCCCCCTTTAAGAATGTAGGATATTTGTAGGTCATCAATATGCGATCAAAATATCTTCGAACCATTGCTCGTATATTTTAAAACCATCGAGTTAGCGATTGTGAGGTTAGGCCCAGATTACTAGGTATGTCTGGTAAATCGATTGATAAGACAGTGAATGTTTATGTGCTGAAGTAGTTAGGATATGTTTTACGTATCCTCATCTACCGACTACTTCGACAGCTCAATGACAGTTGGTGTAGGAGTAGGTTGGAAAAAAGCCAGGGGTAGCCAGATCAAGACATAGCATCAGTCCATAAAGACACTGAATGTTGGACTGAGTCTTGTGGGTAGATGAGGACTACCTGGTTGGGGTTCACGTGACTATTGAAGTCAGTGGTTGGAGATTTTGGATGGGATGGCCTAGAATCACTCATAACAGCACATGTGCGTTCACTCTTCATTTTCCCTTAGGCCATAAGTTTCTCAATTCCTTATAATTTTTTATTTCACATATTTGTATTCTTTCGAATCGAGTCTTTGATATCTGATCTTTTCTATTTCCACCAATAATGTTATTATCTCTTCTACTCTAGGATTCCATTTGACGATTTCATATCGCTGTGCTGATGAGGTGCGACAACTTTCAGTCAGTCAGTAACAACGTGGAACTTCGTACGTACGTACATCAGTTCGAGTTGTCACACCACATTAGCACAGAGATGCAGTTGTCGATTTAAATCCCATAGTGGTAGAGGTAGTAAGAGTATGAGCAGTAATCAGAAAGATTAGGGTTTGAATATGTTATTCAAGGAGTATAATCCAGTGAAATAAATTCGGAAAGAGGAAAAAAAGGACATGAAGAATTCAGATTAAAATTTGGGAGAACACAAAGAGTGGATGCACCTGTGCCATTGCAAACGATTTTGAGCCATGTGATAACTTTAACCGATGTACACATATCCCAGGTTCTATGTTGCGTATGATTAATGTACTGACTTAATAGGCAACTGCTGGAAATTAGTCGTAGTGACATCTGTGAATTTATTCTTAAAACCGTTTTCAAAGTTGTACTGTTTCATCTCTTTATTTCTAACCATATACTTTATGTTTAGTTACTTTTGCTGTCATTAGTATAAATTTTATTTCGGTTTCCTGGGTTTTCATTTTATTTTCATTCCAATCCACTGATGTATTAACGCAACTTGGGTCGATACATATTTGTCCCACATTCTATATGGCTGATGGACTGTGTAGTTACTTCGTTAAACTAATTTGCTTCGTTTTTGTTCCTATGATCATTTTAGAACTTAAATGCAATCAAATCTTGCATTCTCTGAAGAAACCAAAATTGTTTTATCTTCAATCAATGCACCATCATCGTTAGTTATTGAAGAAGATCAATCAGTAGAGAATTGCAATGATGCATTTGAGCCTCTTTTACCTGTTGTTTTAAATAAAGAAACTTTGGATATTTTGGAAGCTCATCTGGGACTAGGTGGTGGAGGCGACTGGTGGATAGACCCATCACGTAATCCAATTGAAGTAGACTCAAATGGAAACAGAGATGAAGGTGCTATTTTAGATGTAGAAGCCAGTTGCAAAATTTGGTATCGTACGCCATTTGATCGAGATCCAGAATTCTGTAATAACTCTTATCATCTTTTGAACCGATTGAATGAGTTGGCGAAAATCAAAGGGTTAATCGAAGAGGCCTCACTGAGGAAACATTCGCCTAATGAAGTAGGATTAAATGATAGTGATCGCCAAATATACCATTCAACTCTGTCTGTGAGTTGTTCTATGGATTTTAAAAATTTTCTGTCACATCCAAATCGTGATATACAGAACATTGATCCCCAGTTAGATCTCCACCATAGTTTAAACAGCTCAATTGGAGAGTATTCTAATTTGCAGGGTACATATGCTTTACGTAAGCAAAATAACAATAAAAAGACACCTTTACGTGAAGTCTTTGATGCTAGAGCTCAAGAAGTTGATAGTGCTATGTACTGCGAAAAACCCAAACCACCTTTCTCCCAAGCCGTGTATTCAGGATTACCTCAATTACACAGATCTCAAAGACCTGCTTCTCCTCATGCTACTCCGAATAATAATGTGCCACCTAATATTAGTAACCGCAAAATTTCTTCAAAGCCTAACGACACTTTGCTTATTCCAGGCGCTACCAGTAGCCCATATCAAAAGGCTAGTAGTCAAAAACAATCCGTTCTTTCGCGCACCTACTCAAAGGAGCAAATGGACTTATTGAAGGAGGTAAATGACTACCCTCTCAATGAGTCAATTCTCAAGGTACCTTCCCTACTTTCTAGATCTCATGCATTGACCACTTCTCTGCCCATGTCGGATAATGAAGGTGATATAGATGTAACTAGAAGTTTAGATATCTCGTCTGGAGTTAACCAATTATCTCAGTCGCTTTCTGCAGCTGAATTAGTTATGAAAGGCCGCAAAATTTCTGAGAAATTTAACGCATCTTACTCTAGTATGCGAAGCTCAGATGTATTTGAATTAGCTCGTCTCCAGGAAACTCACTTACGTGAACACAGTGGTAGTAGAAGTAAATTAGATTGTTCCAACACTTCACTTACTGAGTCGAGTTTTGGAGATGAGAAACATCGTGAACACAAAAGTAGTGCCGCTGGTAGTATTGGGCAAAAATCAGGCAGTGGTTTAAGTTCTTGTGGGGTCAGTGCAACACACAGTCACGAAGAAATTGCAATCGAAGATACAAATGAAAGGCCAGAACGTCAACATACTATTATAGCAAAGGAATGTATTAACCCATTATCAAGTTCAGTTGATTGTGAACCTAAAGTCAATATAATTGTGGATGTGCATTCGAGTACAAATTTGGATCAAACAGATGTTGTAACTTTACCCTCTAAACCATTAAATTCTACATACGATGCTCCAGACTTCAAGTGCGTCTATGACTGTGATTCAACATCACAAGCAGATGAATTTAAAAATTTCAGACCCATTATAGACAGTATGGATAGTACCGTAAATACCATAAATGATTGTATCACACAAGGAAGCAGCAGTGTAGCACATATATCTCACCCAAATAGTGAAATGATAAAACCTAAGGAAAATGAACACCAGCCTGATACTTATGAGTTAAACAGTTATGTTACTGTGTTGGAAAACAATTCAGATACTGCTTTACCTACTAAACATGATGAAGATACAAAATCGGGTAAGAATAATGTATCAAAAAGTGAACTGGGTCTTGAACAAATTATACCCCATTTGTCAGATTCTGCATCAAATGTCAAAAATTTACAAAGTTCTCAGGCAACCCGAACTATTACCAAACCAGTTAACAATAACAAAACAATACCAAACAGACAATCAGGTTTAAAAATTCCTTCAAAAACATCGGTCCCTCTTCCTAACGGAAGTATTTCTCGCCTTCCAATGCTATCTCAAAAAATGCCTTCAATGAGCATAAGTAGTCGTCTTGGTTCTCGTAAAACTAGTATAACTCGACCTGAACAAGGTTCTTCTTTTGATCGTCCAATAAACAAAACTCAACCTTCACTCAAAAATAATCCATCCTCTAATAACAACATTCATAGTAGTGTTTCTACTAACAATATCAAAACAAACCAGACATCTAATTCTACAAAGTCCCTTCCTAAATCATCAGCATCATTAACTGTACAGCAAACTCAAAGACCAGTGCCTTCTAGAATCAGTTTACCATCTGGTAATTCGGGAACTACTACCACCATTCGAAAGCCAACAGTACCATCGTTTGTTTCATCTCGTGGGAAATCTTCTGGTAGATTATGAATTCAACTTTGAAAAATGTTATTAACTTTTGATAAAAGTATTATGCACTACCTTTAAGATAACCCATATGGCTTCTTGTGTGCCAAATCCCGGTAATCCTATATATATATATATATATATATATATATATATATATATATATATATATATATATATATATATATAATCAAATTTTTGCTCTTTCATTGACAGAATAAAATGGAATCTAGTTTATGTATACACATATGTGACAGGTATACATAGACTAACATTCTTATGAATAGTTATATGATGTTCCTTAATCTTTTTAATCAACTTTGTAATAATTTCAGTACTTAATGATTTTCTTTATAACAATTAGTTAGCTTAAAATTTTATACAGTGTAGTTTATTAATTATGCAATGATTTAGTGAATTCCTTTCATATTATCCATTTAATTTTGGACTGAAACTAGAGAAGTAATTGTGTTGTTTTCTTATTTTTGGTACTTTTTAAAAAAATAATAATAAATATCTTGTCTTATTACTTAACAATTATGAGTTTTTAATTAAATGCATCAATTCAGGCTTGTAAAGACTAGATTTAGTCTTTCCTCTTTCAGGTTACTATTTTTATTCTTTTTTATATTTTGAAAACATCTTGTCATTTATGTGCCTTTTTTGTACCAATGGATATACTGTCCATTTGATAATTTTCGTTTTGCTATTCTTGATTATCAATTTGTATAATTATAGAGCTCTTTTCTACCATTAGAATGTTGTTCTTTTTTAAAAATAATAAATCAGGCTTGCGATGCAAAAAATCAATTCTCACTGTTCATTTCTTACTGTCTCCATTACTTACGCCTGTTACTTCTCGTGGAGGAGCATAGGCAACCCACCAGCAATCCTCGTTTGTTCTCCCTCATACTAGGCTGTTGCTGATGGTATACGTTCAACAAGGGGCGTTGAGTATCCTGCGCAGACAATAGTTTATAAATATTTGTACTTTTTTGACGATGGTTGTATTAGTTCTCTACGTTTCAGCTCCATACAGTAGAACCGTCTTGACATTCGTATTGGAGATTCTGGCTGTTATTTGTTGACAGTTGTTTTGAGTTCCATATTGTAGGAATGCTGCTCTTGCTTTTCCGATCCTTGCCTTTACGTCTGCATCAGATCCTCCGTGTCCATCGTTGATGCTGATCAGGTACGTGAAAGTTTCCCCTCTTCCAGAGTTCCCATCAATTGTGATCGCGTTAGTGTTCTCTGTGTTGTATTTAAGGATGTTGCTTTTTCCTTTGTATATGTTGTGACCTACTAATGTAGAAGCTTTTGCTACACTGGTTGTTTTGATCTGCATTTGTTCGTGTATATAGGATAGATCAGCCAAGTCCAAATCGTCGAGCTCCATTCAAGCTGTCCACGGTATTTCGTGCTTCCCCTGAGATGTAGAGGTCTTAATGATCCAGTCGACCTCCAGAAGAGAGAGAGTAAGTAGCCTTGTCTGACTTCAGACCTTATTTAGAATGCGTCTGTCAGCTGTCCTCCATTCACGCCTTTGCACTGTATTCCATAGTATGAGTTCGTATGATGTTCATGACGTCCTCAACTACACCATAGTGTCGAAGAACGTTCTATAAGGTTATTCTATCCACACTGTTAGGTGCTTTCTCATAAAGAAAAAAGTTGATGTATAAGGATGAACTTTGTTCGATCGATTGTTCAACAATAATCCGTGTATGAAATCCAACCTGTTAATCTCGGAGTTGGGTGTTTACTGAATCTTTCATCCGGTTCAACAGCTCTCCTTTAATAACGTTTCCTGGTACTTATAGTGGTGTGATTCCTTTGTAGTTCTCACGTCTACTCAGATACCCCTCTTGTATGTTAATGAAGTGTCCTTCTTTCCAGCCCATCGGCACTTGTTCTTCCTCCCAAATCTTCCTGAATAGAATGTAAAGGATGCATGCAGTTACGTGTATGTCTGACTTCAGAGATTCAGTTGGCATATTGTCAGGTCGTAACTTTCTCACTATTGATTTGCCTTGTGACCATCCTGATTTCTTCAAATTTTGGTGGAGTAACATCTAAAGAAAGGTCTGTGTGTGCTGCTTTGTTATCTGGTGGATTCAATAGAGTTGGTCTATTCAAAAGTTGTAGCGATAATCACTGAATGTTAGTTGTTGTCCTCAGTAGCTACCAGAATTGATTTCTTTTAATTCGATTTAAATAATGACCACATATATAGTTAATGGTATGTCACCTAGATCATTTGCTTTGTTTTAACAGTATATAGATCTTTCTAAAGTGTAATCCTATTTCTGCAAGCTTCATAAACTGCAGTAGATGGTAGCCTGACACGTGTAGAGAAATCAAACGACAAATGTATTTATTTTCGTGGTTTCCTGCTGATCATTATGTTGTTGGAAATTATTCACTTTATTAAGCAGTATTTATTCTAAATGTATTGTTGATGAGTTGGATCAGTCAACTTTTTCAATGTTGTTAAGTTAGATTAACAATTAATCGCTGTTAGCATCAATGGTTATCAACTCTCTGCCTTCCATATTAACTTGTTACTGTGGATGTCAGCTCGTTTGGCATTAAGCACTGTGCTCAGCTCATTTAAACAGTTCAAGTTTTTTTAAAAAAAACATGCGAAATACATTAATTTTTATGAACACTAAGATACCTCAATATTAGACAGTTATCGATATTTTTAAGATGTATTAACAATTTAGGACCTCTTTCAACGCCTACATACTATTGCTTCCATAATGTATCCTAACATCATGGTAGATCTTTTTATGAGTTTCTAAATAGTAAAACAAATATGTCGAGCTAAGCCAAAACTTGCGCTACGTGCATCAGCCATATTAAACAATCGGTTGGTTCCATCTAGTAAGGTGTGATTCCAGTGTATGCCTGGACGTATTCGTCATTGAATCTTATAATCTATCTTGAATGGATTTCCAAAGTATTAAAACGAACTAAAGCTTTTCTGAATTATTAAGGTGGCGTAGGTGTGTAGTTTAGAAAAAGAATTTACCGTGCTCTAAGATAATGAAATGTCAATTTAGATGCTTTTCTCATGATTTCAAACTATCGAATAACCAGCTTGAACATTTCCAATGTTACCTATTTCTTCCAAAAGTGATTGGTCTAATAACTAAGATATTACTGGTATACCAGAAACACCACTAGTAAACACTTCAAAAACAAAGCTGAAAGGTCAACCAATATTTTAAACGAGTGGTGTTATAATCTGTTCCTATAATTCTTGTAGTTTATATTGTATGGTCAGTAAGCACGTAGTCATTATTTGGGTAAGATTGATTGGCTCTTTCAGTGATCAGATCTATAATATTGTACTTATAGATATAAACTAAGGTCATCTTTTCTTCCATAGTCATTAAGTTAATTCTTAAAATTAATCCCACGACAAAATATGTTTCATGTAACGAGTAAATAAAAAAATATTTGGTTGTTTTTAATAGATAGTCTAAAACATTTGAGTTTATCATCGTAATCTTTTATGAAAATATTAAATATCATTTCAGCTATATATATTCTTCATACCTATCTCATCAAATGTCTATGATATAGCAGTTCATTTTGTATCATTTTATAAGTGTGAAACATCCCTCTTAAAATTGGAGTGTATATATAGACTGCAAATATTTAAGCTCATATTTTCCTAAGTATTGTTTGTTTTGTGAAATAAATGAGTAAACGATGTTAACATTATATAAAGATAACGAAATGTAGATAAATCTCTTTTTATTGCTTAATACCGTTAAGAGTCTTTAAACTAAGAAGTAGTATCAATTCATTATGTTGATTTACATCCAGTAGGGTGTTGTAATATATTTGATGATCAAAATACTGATATGATTAACTTTCAGTCATATTAACTGATATGGCTTATGAACAGTGTTTGTGATGGATATAAATTTCTTACTCATTACCTTTTATTGTCTTTCGTTTGCATATCATAGCTTATCGACTCTAACTCTTTGTCCTAGTTTTCTTGACTACTGTTGTTATGATCATTTCTATTTCGGTATTCACTTTTCTCTGTAAACCTGAAATGTTAAAGATTCTTTGTTTGCTTGAATTACTTTTAAATAAAAAAGGTTCATGTAACAAAATGAATTCATAATTACATAATGAACATGTTAATTTTCGTATTGTTAAAGAAAAAACCCCACAATTACCAATAGTTTTCCAGTTAATTTAACTAACTAATTATAAAATATATGTATTTTCAGTAACTGCTATTCATACAACTTATTGATTGAATACGATCATTAATGAGTTAAATAGACCAACAAATAATCGGTTGTAAACGTGTGTTTTATAATTTTTTTTCTTTAGAAATATCATGTCACTTCTTTGATTAATATATCAGTATGTACATACAGAATTAACTTCATAAGCACTTATTCATAACTTACAATCCACATAATTAAAAACAATAGGCGGCACGTAAATCTATTGTATGCTAAATAAATTTACTTTTCTTCACATACAATTTAACATTATCTCACGAAAGTAAACCAAATTTTATATTTTTTAAGCAGTAAACATTCTATAGCACTGGTGTATATAAATGATGTTATTTATCTGTTTTTGATATATACATAATCAGATTTATTCAGTTCCTGTTGTTACTATGGAATCTTTGAATAAGTACCAAACTTTACAAGTTGTTTGTAGGTTTTTAAAGAGTGGTTAAAAGTGAAATTCAAAAAAATGCATTCTATTCTACTTAAAACTCATCATATGAATACATCATCATCATCAAAGTCTTTAATACCAACAACAGGAAAGTACAAAACTTTACTGTTAGTAATAGATATCATTCATGTTGGTGGTTTAACATAAGTATGTATTTTAATAGAATAATATCTTGGTGTTTAAGGCAATGATAAAGAAAGTCGAATAGTTCAATGTAAAAACAACACACTGGTCAGGGTAAATACATCTGGTTACTTACTTACTTACGACTGTTACTCCCAATGTAGCATAGGCCGCCGACCAGCATTCTCCAACCCACTCTGTCCTGGGCCTTCTTTTCTAGTCCCAACCAATTGTTCATTTTTCTCATATCTATCTCCATTTCCCGGCGT